GCTTGGCAAACCACTCTTGAACATCTGGGTTAGCTTGCTTAGATATGAGACTATCTTGGTACTAACAACTTGCAGCAATTTCCTTAGAATCGTCAGCATCACATACCATAAACTTGTCATTTGAGCATGATTTGGACACCACCTCACCCTACACAAACACGTTCAACCTTGTCAGCTCCCCAGTGTATTTGATTCAATACAGTAATACATTGGTCCCCTGTCAGATATGCAATGCACTACTCTACAGTCACCATTACTTTGGGAAATGTATTCATGACTGTGACAAGAATTTGCCACTAGAGGACACTGAATCAACATGAGACCTTGATAAATGGCAGAAATATGGACACTAACAAACTAGCTTATGAGGATTTATATTTCTGTTGGCTAGAATAAGTGACAATAATAGGTATCTGCTATCCCTTCATAATGTCTTACAGAAGGTGTGGCTCTGCAGGTAATCCTTCCCTTAATTCTCCCTAAAGCTTCAGATGGGTAGCTGAGTTAGTCTGTAACTGGAAAAACTTAAAAAACAACAAATAGTCTAGCAGCACCTTAAAACATAACAAAACACGTAGATGGTGTCATGAGTTTTCGTGGGCACAACCCACTTCTTCAGATGAAACCTGAAGAATTCTCCCTAATAAGACATCCATAAGGTTAGCTTCAAAGTATCTGGGCAAGAGGAAGCTTAAAACCAGACTCACAGAATAACTATGTTCCTTGTATAAGGTTTCAGAGAAGGACCAGTTAACACAGTTCATAAGGCCCTTACAACCAGACCCCAGTTCAGAGCACCCAAATTCAGAGTCCACAAAATTAAGTTTCTGGCTATGTCTCTAAACTACAAGGTTTTTGCGCAGAAACAGCCGTTTTTGGACAAAAACTGGCAGAGCGTCCACATCTCAAGCGCATTTTTCACACAAAAAAATACAGTAAATCGACAGGACAGAGGGCTTTTGCCAGTAGAGTTATTCCTCTGCCCACAAAGAATAACTCCTTTTTGTACTACAGCTCTTGCGCATAAAAGGCATGTGTGGATGCTCTGCAGGGGTTTCTTGTGCAAAAAGAGCCTATCAGAAAAAGCACAGGTGCTCTGATGGCCATTCTGTGCATGGCAATCAGAACTTTCTTGCGCAAGAGTGTCCATGCAGTGTAGACGCTCTCTTGCACAAAAGCACATCGCCGCCCCATGCATCCCCGCTGGGGGACGTCAGCGGAGTGATGGGAAGAGGGGAGGCATGCGCGCGACCGCCCCGGACAGCCCCGCCGCATGACATCATCCCATGTGATGTCATCAGCATGCCAGAAGGAGGCGGAGCAGAAGCACTGGCAGAGGTGGATAAAGGTGGAACAGAAAGCTCAGAAGGGGGGCTGGAAAACAAAGGGCCACTGGTATGGATCTGGTGTGTGCACGGGGACATACGGTCGTACCCAACGGCGCAGATAAACCTAAATGACAGGCAATTGAACTGCCCGGTAAAAGTAGCAGTGGCTAGTCGATTGCCGTACCACATGTTGTTGGGGCGGGATTGGCCCAGATTCCAATCCCTCTTGCAAGTAAGGAGGGAGACCAGAGAAAGGAGAAGCCGAGCAGTTTGGGCAGCTCAGGGCGAGAAGAGCCCCAGCCGTACCCATCCGCCAGAGGAGAAACAAAGGAGGCCATCCCTACCCATAGCGTTAGAGCCGGATGTCGGCAACTTCGTGACGTTGCAACAAGAGGACCCCACGCTCCAGCATGCATGGGAAAACGCCCAACCGGTAAGGAAGAGCGAGGAAAAACTCTGTCAAGGGGCTACTCAAGGACCCTGTTTCGAGGTCCATCAAGACAGACTTTACCGGGTCATGAAAGGGGGAGAGGGACAGGAGGAGGAAGGCCAATTGGTGGTGCCGCGGGCCTACCAGTGGTGGGTGATGGAACTGGCCCACGAGAACCCATGGGCGGGGCACCTGGGAGCTGAGAAAACCCAACAGCGGGTGTTGCAGCAGTTTTATTGGCCAGGTGTATACAAGGACATCAAAGACTTTTGTGCCTCCTGCCCCCAGTGCCAGCTGACTTCAGGGGTGAAGCCCCATTAATACCCCTCCCACCAGTGGGTGAACCCTTCGAGAGGATTGGACTGGACCTAGTAGGGCCCCTAGAGTGAACACGGAGGAGTCACCAATACATTCTTGTGGTGGTGGACTACACCATGCGGTACCCAGAGGCAGTCCCCCTCCGGAGGACCACCACCCCGTCTTGGCGGACGAACTAATGAAAATGTTTGCTAGAGTCAGCCTCCCCAAGGAGATATTGACAGATCAAGGGCCCAACTTGACATCACAGCTGATGGCTGAGCTATGTAGATGACTGCAGATCAAGAAGGTACGGACATCAGTGTACCACCCCCAGATGGACGGGTTGGTCGAGAGGCTCAACCGGACCCTGAAGGCAATGCTGCAGAAGTTAGTACAAGACGACCCACGAGACTGGGACAAACTCCTTCCCCCTTTACTCTTTGCAATACGAGAAGTGCCCCAGACCTCCATCAGCTACTCTCCCTTTGAGCTCTTGTACGGGCAGCGCCTGCGGGGAATACTGGACCTTTTAAAAGAGGGGTGGGAAGAACAAACATCTACAGCATTGGAGTCAGCCCAATCTGTTATTAAACTACGGGATTGACTGCGCACCGTGAGCCAATGGGCCAGGGAGAACTTACAGCAAGCCCAGGAAGCACAAGTACAACAGTACAACCGAGAGGCCCAGACAAGGGAATTCAGCCCGGGGGACCCGATACTAGTGCTATTACCCACTGGGGACTCTAAATTGTTAGCCTACTGGCAAGGCCCCTTTAGGGTACTGAGGAAAGTGGGGCAGGTAGACTATGAAGTACAGGTGTAGGAGAAAAGGCAGTGTAGTCAGATTTATCACGTGAATTTGTTAAAAAGGTGGGTACCCTGGGAAGCACCGCTGAAGGAGGCTCTAGCCACCGAGGTGGAATTTGGATCCTGGGGGAGGAGGAGGTTACCTGGAAAGCAAGCCAGATAAGTGAGGCTCTGACTCCCACCCAGCTGGACAAACTACAAAGGGTACTAGAACTGGCCGAGGAGGGGTTGACGAATCGACCAGGAAGGACGTCCCTCACGAGCCATGCTATCACCACCAACCTGGGGCAAAGGGTGCGGGATGCAGTTCGCCCAATACCACGGAAAATGTGGGATACGGTGCCTAAGGAGTTATGCGATATGATCCGAATGGGGCGTAGTGGAGGAGTCCTATAGCGATTGGCGGAGCCCTATCGTGTTAGCAGCCAAAAAGGATGGGTCCATACAATTTTGTATAGATTTCTGCAAGGTAAATGCCATCTTGAAATTTGATGCGTACCCAATGCCCCGGATAGACGAGCTGCTGGAGCGTCTAGGGCAGGCCAAATATTTGTCAACAATTGACTTGATGAAATGGTACTGGCAAATCCCGTTGACACCGGAATCTCGAGAAAAGACAGCTTTCATGACCCCCTTTGGGCTGTACCAGTTCGTAACCATGCCTTTTGGGCTCCATGGAGCTGCAGCTACATTCCAACTGTTGATGAACCGGATTCTTAATGAACATCGCGAGTATGCAGTAGCCTATATCGACGACATCGTCATTTTTAATATATCATGGGAGGAACACCTACGACATCTGGATGCGGTGATAAAGGCACTGATCCAAGCAGGACTGACAGCCAACCCAATGAAATGCCACTTCGGTAAGTGAGAGCTGTCGTACCTAGGATATACGGTGGGCAATGGCCAACTGCGGCCGTTGATGGACAAGGTACAGGCCATCCGGGACTACCCACGACCCAACACGAAGAGACGGGTACGGCAGTTCTTGGGGTTGGCCGGGTACTACCAGCGGTTCATAGAGCACTTCGCCTCATTAGCAGCCCCGTTGACAGACCTCACAAAAAAGGGGCAGTCTCAGCAGGTGGTATGTACCCCCTAAGGGATACATGCTTTCGATGCTTTACACAAGCACTTAAAAACGGCCCCTGTGTTGCGCCAACCAGACTTTGATAGACCCTTTGTCCTCCAGACAGATGTGTCAGAGGTGTGACTAGGGGCAGTACTAGCGCAGGAAGAGGGGGGAGCCGAACGCCCGGTGTTGTACCTGAGCCGGAAGCTGTTCCCTAGAAAGAAAAGCTATGCTACGATAGAGAAAGAGGCGCTGCCCATCAAGTGGGCCATTGACACTTTGCACTACTTTCTTATAGGAAACCACTTCACGTTGGTAACGGACCATGCACCCCTGAAGTGGATCCAGACGATGAAGGACACAAACACCCGAATCCTACGTTGGTATCTGAGTTTACAGCCTTACCATTTTGACATCGTCCACAGGCCAGACAAAGACAACCAAAACGCAGACTGTCTGTCAAGAATGCCCGAAACTGGCCATGAAGTAATAGCAAGTATGGGGGCTGACTTAAGGGGGGAGGTGTGTGGCGCAGTGAGGCAACCTCACCACTATCCCTGCCAAGGGGAGCAGGCCGCAGACACAAGGAATGCGAGCCCGGCGCGAGCAGCGGTGAGCTGAATACCGCTGCCCGACATTAGGACAGAGGTGGATCAGTGCGCGGGAGCCGGAGGGCAGACGGGGAATGGTGGGGTGAGCGTGCTGCCGTCCCCCGCATCCCCACTGGGTGATGTCAGCGGAGCGACGGGAAGCAGGGAGGCGTGGGCGCGACTTCCCCGGCCGGCCCTGCCGCATAACATCATCCCGCGTGACATCATCAGCACGCCGGAAGGAGGCGGAGCGCAAGCACCGGCAGGGGTGGATAAAGGTGGGACAGAAAGCTCAGAAGGGGGGCTGGGAAGCAAAGGCAGGGGATAGCTGTACTCCTGGGAGGCAAGGGAACCGGGTTCTTCCCTCCCCTCCTCTCCCCCTCCCCCCCGTCCGCTTTTGTAAGGAGGGCCAGGAAGGGCACTGGTGGCAGGGTGGAAGACAGCCCAGGGTGGGGTGGTGGAGCCTGTGAGCAGGTGCGTTTAAGGGGAAAGTTCCCACCTGTTACCACCAGGAGCGCTGTTCCCAGTGTTAGGGGCCTGAGCTGGGGTCTGGGAGTGTGGGTTGGCCCGGATCCCCCCCTCTGCCGCTGGCAGGCAGCCTTGATACGGTGAGCGGCAGTAGGCCTCCCATTACCTGTAGCCCCGTAGGGGTAAATAAGAGTGGGGAATTACCACGCAGCATAACTGGAGTGGGTCAGACGTGAGGAACAACAGGGCATTGTACCCGGACACGGGGCTGGACCGTGACAGTTATTCTGAAATAACAAAGAGCACTACACTACATATTTTGATGCATTGATTTTTTTCATTCCACTGCATAATGAAACCATCCTTTGGAAAAATTTCACAAAAATGGATTTAAGAAGACCCACTTCAGCATAGCCAATAGCCTGGTTGTTAGGACAGTCATCTGGGATGTAGAAGACCAGAGTGTAAGTCCTTGTTCTACCTTAAGATATAAGAAGATTTTAGGGAACAAGTTTCTTGAAGATTCATCTGGCTGAAGATCACCACAGCTGCGGAGAGCTTAGGGAAGTATTCAAAGTGAGGAAGGGCAACAGTATGTAAAACAGGGGAGAAGCAAGGAGTAGCCACAAGCCTTTTCCATATGCAGCCAAAATCAAGAGATTGGGGCCAAGTTCAGAGGCAAATCAAGATAAACCTTAAGCTCAGGTAATACATACCTACTTCTACCTCTCCAGCAGCCCCATCTCTCAACATGAATGTTGCATCAAATTAGATTCACTTAGATTCCTTTACTGTTCACTCCTTGCTGGGTAACATGCAACTTATCTCTTCCCCCGCCCAAACTTCACCTCACTCCTGTTTTTTGGCCCACAGAGTATAAGGGAGTTTAATTTGGAGTAACTCACATACCTCAAAGACTCATTCAGCCATCTCTAACAACAACATTCCACATTTGCAGAACTTCTGGGATTCCTTTAAGATCTAAATTTAGGAACAAAATCTAAAAAGTTATCCCTTTGACATACACTCTCAGGAAGCTACTGGCTCCTGCATGTCTCACTACAGCAAAGCTAACTATTAAGCTCTTGTTATCCTAGGCCACTACAGTAACAGCCCTTGTCCAGTAAGCATTACTACTAAACTGCACAAATGTTCTGGAATGCCCATTAACATACAAAGAATATTTGTAGCTCCAGAACACTTTTTTGCCTCTAATTGTATGCTGTTCTCCACAAATATGAAGGCAAGGGGGTTTGGAAGCAATAAATAAAAAAGTAGTATAGTTTCAAAGGTAATCATTCTTTCTAAATGGTTTTCTTCATTTTCTCCTGGGAGCGTTCATGTTCAAATCTGTAATCTGTTTCTTGCTTAAATGATTGATTTTTAAAAATATTATTTGAGTCCATTTGATTTCTAGTTGAGTCTTGGCTTTAGGCCTGCTTGTGCTTGTCTAAACTATCAAGTGTAGACAAAAGTTTTCATTATCTTGCCTGGCTAATAAATCCCATAGATTTACCCCTTTAAGACTGATTAGTGTCATTTCTGTTGCAACCATAGGTGACAGATGCTAATTTGGGGGATCAGACATGTCTAGGAAGTGGGGGTCCTTTTCTTTAGTTCTACTGGTAGACACCCTGGCAGGACCTCTGACAGTCATAGTTCTCTCCTGGGTTTGATTGTTATAATCTGCTCAGTTTAAAGGTTTCCCACCTTGAGTGTAGGAAGTGCTGACAGCTGCTCAGCAGCTTTCTTACTTGGACCCGAGCTAGAGCAGTGGCAGACACTAGCATGTGCAGCCTGAGCTGTGAAGTAGGGTTGCCAGGTGTCCAGTATTCACCTGGACAGTCTGGTATTTTTGTCTCCTGTCCGGTAAAAAATATCCAGGAACCAAATGTGTGTTAGAAGGACAAAGAAAACTATTTTGGTAAAAAGAATGGAAGAATCCCAGTTTGCTGTAAGGAAATTGGTTAAGGAGGTTAAGAACATGAGAGGTTGTTGGGTAATTGTTTAAAAGTTTAAAAGAGCTCAGGGAATGATAACTGCTTTAAACATAAATCCTCTAAAAGGATATAACTCTGAGAGCTCTGATTCTGATCATTGTTTAAACCTGTGGGAGATAAAGAAAATGTAGACTCAAAACTCTGCTCCTCAGTCTTGAGTGGAGTTAGGTTTCTGATTAAATAGAAGAGAAGACAAAAGTGCCCATTACCACAACTGTGTTCAGTTACTGTCCCAACTGATAGTTTGAGACCAGATATGAGACAAAACCATATGGTCCTGACCAGGCTAATGCAATGGGGAAAATACTGGGTTCCTCGGGTTTGTGGGAGAAGGAGCAGGGCAGAGAGGCATAGGCAAGCGATCTGTGTGGTGCTGCAACACTCCCACATTTCATGTTGGTTCCCAGCTGTCGCCAGCCCCACACCCAGGCTCCTAATTGCTACCCAGGGCTGCCCTCCCAGCCTCATGCTCACCTCCTACCTTTTCCCTCCCAGCTCTGTGCAGGTCCCTCCTTCAGAAGACATGGTGCTATTCTGGGTCCCAGCAAGGCGAAGTGGGTGAGTGGTGGTTGGGTGCAGTCTGTGAGGGCTTTGAGGGATGAGGCTGGATGCTGGAGCCAGTGCTGCCCACACCTTGCTGTCCCAAACAAGTGGTGGTGGCTCTAGGCATGTGCAGTATGCAGTTGCCTAGGGCACCACTAAATTTGGGGCAGCTGTGTATTGTGCAGGTACCTATGGAGGACCTAGTGATATGCCTGAATTCAAGGAGACATTTGTCTAAAGACTCTCAGCCAACATAAAAATAATGTTGGGATCAGTCAACCAGAGCACTATAACAATCAGGGATTTAGAGGATAGAATTCAGGAAGCTTTTGAACTGCAGTGTGAGGCCTTCCCAAGCCACTGGCAAAAAAAAGAAGATTGCTTCTATGAAGTATGTCATTAATGGAGCTAGTGAGCAAAAGAGAAGAAACACAGTCCCGAATGCATGAGTTATACATCAGCTCTGGTCCAAATGAATCAATAAGAAATCAGGAATATCACAACAATGCAACTGAAATTAGATTATTTCAAACCATGCTGTGAAAGCAGTTATCACTTCACTGACAATGTACCTCAGGTGGTGCCAATCCACGTCTGATGAACTTTGCTGTGAATGTTCAGACCAGCACGTAAGCAATAGCTGCCTCTAAAAAGGACTGAATTGCGTATGGATTGGTGAGTTGCTCATGTGACAAACTCCATCGTGGGACATATTTTCACACAGCTAGAACAATGGAATTCCCTCCACATGAGCAATGGTGCAAAAAGGGCCTTGAAAGCGCCTCCATTTTGTTTTCATTCCTGTCTTCAATACTGCTAATCACTTACGAAGGAGCGCTGCTGTGAACGGAAGACTGTAAGGACTACCTAACAGAGAATGTATTCCAGAGACTTGTTTTAACACAGTAGATCATTCCATCTCTGCTATGAGCCTGCACCAAGAACTTTGCAATTGGTGTATGTAATTTGATTCCTTTAACAATTTTACTCTCAATCTTTTCTTTCTTTTTATTAATAAACCTTTAGATTTTCAATTCTAAAGGTTTTGCACAGTGTGGTCTTTGGGGTAAGATCTGAGGAATGTGGCTGGTCCGTTGGGACTGGAAGAACCTATCTGGATTTGGTGAGACTGGTTTTCATAACCTTTCATCTGTATAAGGAGTGGTATTGGCAGTGTCACAGGAAAGCTAGAGTGTCTAAGGGGATTGCTTGTATGACTTCTTGCTAGCCAGTGCGGTGACTAGAAGGCTACGTCTACACTGGCCCCTTTTTTGGAAGGGGCATGCTAATTTTGAAAGTGGGAATAGGGAAATCCGCAGGGGATTTAAATATCCCCCGCGGATTTAAATAAATATGTCCGCCACTTTTTTCCGGCTTGGGGAAAAGCCGGAAAAAAAGCGTCTAGACTGGCCCGATCCTCCGGAATAAAGCCCTATTCCGGAGGATCTCTTATAGCCCTATCTCTAAGAAATTCACCCTGATTTGACTCTCTCAGTGGTGTCCCAGAAACCTCTTTATTACAGTGACCTGGAGGTTAACAATTGGTTACAGAGAACTGAATCAAGTCAAACCATGGCTAACCCCAGTAGTAGTGATGTTCCGTGAAATGATGGTGGCCATTGCTGCAGGTCCAGAATAGTTCACTGGTCTAGACTTATCAAAAGCTTTCTTTTCTATCCCATTACAGCCAGGTGTAAGATCTATGTTTGCCTTCACATTATGGTAACCATTAACTTACTATGAGCAGAGTACCCTGCAGGTACCATAATGTGCCTTCACTGTGTCACAAGTTCAAAATGTAAGAACCTCTTATGCCTGGGCCCCTGACCTAAAAATTATAAATGATGTGGATAACATCTTAATTGCAACTGTAATTAGGAAGGAAAATTTAGAAATCCTGAATGCTGTCTTAAATAAAGTATAAGAAACCATCTTTATTATTACTTCCACCAAAGCTCAGATGCTGCAACAAAAAGTAACATACCTCAGAATAGAATGGGGCATATATGGGCGGGCACTGACTAGATGCAAATAAGTCAATTAATTTGAAGATTGCCCTCCCTGAAAGACATGTTGGATTTGAATAATTTCTGGGCCTCACTGGATTTTCATTGAGGAGTATTCTGAAGCTGTGCAACTTTATGTTTTGTTGAGAAAGGGCCAGGAAGGGACTAAGTGCAAAAAGGAGAAGGATGCATTTTTCCACCTGAAGCAAGTCCTTGTCCAGACGCTGGCATGGACATATGCTTAACCCAGCAAACCCTTTCAACTCCAATTAGTAATGACAGAGAAGGGACCAAGCACAGTTTTGATGCAGGACAACAATGTGGAACCAAAACCAGTCACCTCTGGAGCAAGGGCATTAAGCAAAATTGATAAGCAAAACTGAAAAATGATATTTTTGCTGTTTTTAAAAAGAAGTGCTGTATTAACATCAGAATTGAGGCACTGGGAATACCTGATAAGTATATCTCCCCTGCATTGTATTAAAAACTATTCACACACCTATTCTGTATGTACTATCAGAATCAATCAACAGTAGTAGTTTGTCAAACCCTTGATTTACTGATTGGACTTTAAAAAAAGACATCAAAAATCTTTTAAAAAGAGACATCAACATGAATAGGACACACACTCATTCAGTGATCCTTTATGAGCTACTGATTCACAGGGGGAAGCATGAGTTTCCATTGCTGTTCAAAAACCCTAATAAGTTAGAATCACCATTCAACTTGAAGACTTCATATGAGCATGCTGAAGAGCCTGAGGATGATGTGTGGGTCATACATGGTAGCTGCCACTAACACCAGGGTAAGCCTGGCACAGGGCATGAAGCCCTTCAAGTGAAGACTTACAAGGTGCTACAAGAAAGAGATAGTTATTCCATAATCAGCCCAGGCAGCCCAGGTGGTAACTATGGTTGCAATACTGAATGTGACAGACCCACCAATATGGTGATTATTCAAACTCTGATTCTGAGCCTTACCAAATATACTGTTAAGGGGAGTAACAACATATTGATAATTCAAATTCATTTACAAGAAGAATGGTTATTGCTATTCAATGTAGAAAGAAGAGATCAGCAATAAGTCTTTAATGGACTATACAGCAAATGATGAACCTCATAAGGCTACTTTTTATGATGACTAAGGAATAGCAACTTTCCTTTGTTCAGAAATTTGCCATCAGCTGTATATGACAGTTCAATGTTCATTTTCTGGAAAGTTGTTCCAATAGAATAGAAGTATTGGAGACAGCAAACTGCTCTTCTATCAATTTAATCTCCTTACTAAAGTGCATATTGGAATAATCAATGTCAACAGCACAATGGGTTTTAGATACACACTTAATCATTTTAGTGCTTATTTGTATATTCCATCTTTTCAATATGTATTCAACATGAAATGCCAAAATTACACTAAGTTTTGTTCCCAGAAACACACTAATGTAAACAGATTTTGTGATAAAAGTAAAGTTACCTTTCATGTTAAGTGTCATGGAAGTGTGTATATAAATGTAAGATCTAATGACACAGGAACCTGGTACCCAACATGTTTGTTCGGGGTAAGGGAGGTCACTAGTGTTTTGGCGGTACCCAAAACCTATGTAAATATTACTGGGCCTGTAGTAACAAAACGGGTGTTAAAAGATTGTTACCAGCCAATCCCATCTACTTACTCAAGAAAGCCATCATGTCCCTATAGTTAATGTTGGCTCTAGTGTGTTTAGAATGCTTACCTTTCACAGGCTATGTCTACACTATGGGGTTTTTCCAGGATACCAGAGGTAGGCTAATTTTGATTGGACAAATTTAAAGGAATGTTGGCCCACATTCCAGGGCAGTTGGCAGAAGTTGATTAAAGAGAAGGGTAAACAGCAAGACGGAACACTGAGACAGCCTGTGTTTGTTTGCGTGATTGTAGAGAGAAGACACCTACCACCTACCTGTTCCATCAGAGAAAGCTTGCCTGTTCCAGTCAATGAGTTCCTGACACCGTGGTGGCGTGGTTCTCAAGTTCCTGATCCTGGCTCCCTGAGAGACAAGAGGGTTCCTGAGTTATCTATGTCCATCCAGATTTCAGCCATTTTCAACAGATTGAGTAACATTCCAACTTTTTTATATTATTTGAACCCCGTTTTTATATTTTGATCTAGATTTTAAGTCTGCTTGTACTTATTTGAACTACCAAGCTATTCTATTTTTATTCTACTGCCTTGTTAACAAATTCCATTGGTTTACCCCTTTAAAAGTGATTAGTGTAATTTCTGGTGCAATCATAAGTGATCAGTCCTAATTTGGGGGATCAGGCCTCTCTGAGAGGTGGAGTTTGAAGAGTCAGGCAAAAAGAAGATTCATTCACCTATTGTTATGAATGAATCAGAAAGGAACTCCTAACTGCAAAGTTACACAGAAAGGAAGCCTTTTGGGGGCCATCCCAATTCTGATGGATGTCAACAGAAAAAAGATATTTAGTTGGGGTAAATAGGCATGGCTCCAGATAAGTCAATAGAGCGATGTTGATATATATCAGCTGATTGATGTTCTGACAAAGTCATTTCAATGGTGAAAGATTAGGCCTCTGATTATTACAGGGGGGGAAAAAGAGAAGTGGGAACTTAGTAATAGATTTTAATAGTTGTCTTTGGTCAAACTTTCCCATCCCACAATTGCTGTATATTATGAAATGTGCTGGTTGTTGCTCACCTTTCACCCCAAAACTTGTCGTCATTTCAGTGGTGAATGTGTGTATTCATTCTCAAAGTAAGGTTTAAAGATGAGTGTTTCAAAAACTGTTTTGACCATACACTTGAAAAATAACACTATAAACTTCTATACTTTTATAAAACAATTCATAACCCTAAAAATGAACACCTTGCCCTAAAGGCTCCTTCCTGACCTTCACTGCTTCCTAATTTTTCCATGTCCATTCCAATGCCACCTTGGCTATGTCTACACTACAGCAGGGCGGAGGGGCTGTTGAAAAACGGCCATTTTTCCCCAAAAAAATGTCACTTACGTCCACACTGCAATCACATTCTTTCAAAAAAAACCTGAAAGAACAGAGGGGTTTTTCCAACATTAATAAATCTCTTTCTACGAGGAAGAAGCCTTTTTCTGAAAGAGCTCTTTTGGAAAAAAGCCTGTGTGGACAGGGAAGAGGGAGTTATTTCAAAAGAAGAAGAAAGAGGAAAAAGCACAAGTGCCCTGGTGGCCACTCTGCCCATAGTAATCACAGCTAAAATGCGAGATAGCATCCATTCAATGTGGATGCTATTTTTCGAAAAAGCAGATCACTTTTTCTATGCGCTTTGGCAGTGTGGACGCTCTTTCGGAAGAAGTTTTTTTTTGGAAGATCTCTTCCAGAAAAGCTTCTTCCAAAAGAAGCCTGCAGTCTAGAGGTAGCCCCTAATTCCATCTGTAAGCTAGCTTTAACTTTGCCATGCAAAAATATATGCAAAGATAAGTTACTAGGAAATTCTAAAATCCCATTCGCTATTGCAGGGATCTGTGATTATTACAACATTAGTCATTCTAAATAGCAACATATTTTACTGGCTGCATAATAAACTTGAAAATTCAGACTTGCAAGCTCTACATGCCTGTCACAAGGCTCACTCAGTGCAGGTAACACCTGCTGGGAATTAGTGCTCTTCCAAGTCCAACTCAACCGCTTGCAATTTCTCAACCCATTGTCCTTCCTCTCACTCTGCAGCACTTCTTTTGTTCCAGAAGCTTCCTCTTCATGACTCAACTCTCAAGCCCCAAGTCACTGTGTCATTTCCCCTTTCAAGGTACAGAGTCTCACCAGACGCACTGTCCATGCAATGTCACTCTATTACTAGCTGGTAGGGGAACACAGGCCCATCTACTACTCCAGCCAGGGACCCTACAACACAATCTGCTCCCTCCCCAACCTTGCTGCTCTCTCCCTGAGGTGATTCTTCTGCTCCTGACCACCAGGCTCTGGCTTTCAGCCAGCCCGGGGGTTGCCAAGGCTCCACAGCCAGCTCTTTTGTGAGAAATATTTCGCTACCCCTCCCACTGGAAGCAGGACCGAGTTCTCCAAATACACACCAAATGATAACAAAGTGCGGTTGCTACCAATGTGGGGTGCACTTGCCTCTTATTTTTTCACTTTCAAACTGGTTCTTTAATACGAGAAATACAATGTCTTTAAAACAATATGTAGGATACAATCCAATGTCCAATGAAAGCAGTGGGATCCTTTCCACTGAATTAAACGGGCATTGGATCGAGCACTAAATACCTTCTCTTACGTTTACTTGAAAAATGCCGATTTTTATAAACATCAGGCCAGATCCTCAGCGACACAGTTTTACATCTGTAGAGGCTTTGGACCACTAAAATACTTGTTCTGTACTTGGTGGCAGAACAAAGTGCTTTCATCAGGAGTAACAACAATCTTTTGCAGGAGCAGACTTGGTAACCCAGATTTCAAGGAGGAAACTGGACATTATAAGACTGAGTACAAAACAAGTAAGGCAACACTACAACTCCCCCTGAACTGAATGGAAGGTTTTCAACTGCTCCCTCACATCTCCACCAGCTGCACAAATTGTAGCCACATAACAACTGTTCTACAGAAGGTGGCAGCTATGCAGTGCCCTGGGACCACATTCTCTCCTCCCCCTCCTCACAGCATACCACTTCCTCAAACCCCGCTGCAGTATGATTTGTGCCCAAATGCTCTATGGAACAGAGGGGAACATATGAGCTACTGTCTAATAGCTGAGCACAGTCATCAGTGATTTTTTTTTCATTTCAAATCATTCACAAGCTACAATTACACTAAAAAAGTCCATTCTTCAGACTGTGTTTATATTACCATCATCACAAAAGTGAAAGAGAATTAAGCTTGCCTGTGCTCTCTTGACCTAGGGACCAAGTATATTTGGATGTGTCCTAAGCACTTAATAAAGCTGTCTATTAGTTCATAGCAGAGTATCTCCCCATATTGTCTGGACAGGGATAATTTCATTACATATCAGCACAACTTAGAAACACAAACATGTCATTACAATATGTCATTCTTTTTCACGTGCTGTATCTGTGCAGCTCTATGTACTCTGCAGCTCAGCCACGGTCAGAGACTACCAGACTAGAACAGAGCACCTCAAAACAATTAAAATAGATCAGAATCACCAGAGAGACGATAAATGGTCACTGGCTGTCCCTGCTATGGCTTCCATTTTCATAGACTTGGCACAGACCCTACTATCATCCAAAGCCAATTTAAACTAATCATGATGTTGCCGATACAATCTCTGCAGTTGGTGCCAGGGTACTGACCAACCAAAACAGCAACTCCTGAAGAACAGCAAGGTGTCAGTATGGGTTGTCATCCTGGGAAAATCACTGGTGCTACTGGACAACACAGCGTCTTGCTTTTTACCTCTCTCACTTCACTGCTACAGAAGGTTCTCTGTAAAAGCTGTTGATGTTGTGCTGGTTCCCCAGCTGACTGCTCACATTCATAGTCAAACCAGTGTTATTTGACAGAAATAACATTTCCAGGGTTTAAGCAAATAACTTTAAGAGCTGGTCTTAAAAATTTATTTCTCATAGTGTATCCAGAGAAAATAAAGGGATTAATTCTCAGATTACAAATTTCTGTACAAAGTTAAAGAAATAGCCTATCTGATTACATGACTACATAGCTCTACATAGCTCTAGCCTGTGCCTGTCTCTGTGTTGTTGCACCCGAGCAAGGGGAAATCACTCCCCACTTCCCTCCACTCTCAGCCTACTGCCAGGCACAGCAGGAGTTCTTGCAGTCTGGCAGCATAAGGATGGCCCAGTTCTTTGGGTACATTTCCTTGCAGAGCTCATGCTGGAGAAGGGAGGCTCACCAATGCCAACACAAGACTGTGGCTTAGGATACGTCTAGACTGCAGAGTTTTCCAAAGGTATCCCAGAAAAACTCTGCCATGTCCAAGGAACGCATTTGCTCTTCTGAAATTTTTTTCGGAAGAGCTCGTTTTACGAAGAAGAAGGGATGTTCCAAAAAAGGGTTTTCCAACATTTGGCCCAGTATAGACAGGCCAAATGTTGGAAAAGCCTCTTCCAAAAAATTAGTGGAAAAAGCTACGCAAATTGCAAACTGCAATTTGCGTATCTTTTTCCGGAAGAACCGTGTAGTTTTGACACAGCCTTAATGTGACAACTTGTTTCCTTGTATTCTCCCATCTGTCTGTATCTATCTGTTGTCTCTTTGTCTCTTGTCTTATAAACTCACAATAACCTCTCTGGAGCAGGCGTCATCTTTTTGCTTTGTATTTGTGAAGCACCTGGCATAATGGGTCCCGGTCCATGATTAGGACTCTTGGACACTATGATAATAATACATTTTATTTCTTAGCGAGTCCAAAAAGTGGGCTAACAGGAACCTTTCAGTTTTGATTATCTTGATAAGTAGCACAAAGGATTGATGCACAGTTGAAGAACTACAATAGATACAAATATAATTAAGTCACAAATTAATAAGTTTGGTGGCTTCAATCCTTCCCTAGTCTTTTGTAAGCATTTGTCCCCTCCCCCCCAAAAAATCATTACATTACAAAAATCATTACAGAATTTCACATTTTGTACCTCAGAAGAAGGTAAGAACTGGTGCTGAGCTGCACTTACAAAATGTATGGCTTAACTGTCTCAGGCATTTGTACAAAACCGCAATAACCTATAGATCTGGATGGCTTAGTAAGATGGGCATTGGGCACAAGCAAACAATGTGTGTTTTAACATGGCTAAATGTATATAGGACAAAGAACGCAGGTCACACTTATCGTATGTGGGACTCTATCCTGTAAAGCAGTAACTCTGAAAGAGATTTTAAGAGTAAGGGTGGATAATCAGCTGAACATGAGCTGCCAGAGTGACCCTGTAGCCTTAAGCAGAAGTAAAGAGATTAATTTACTTCAGCATTTGGCACTGAGGCGACCTCTGCTGGAATACGGCATTCAGTTCTGGTGTCTGCGGTTCAAGGAGGATGTTGTAAAATTGGAGGAGGTTCAGAGAAGAGCCACAAGAATGATTAAAGGATTCAGAAACATGCCTCATAATTGTAGACACTAGGGCTAC